AACGTTCATTTTCTTTTCACATAGATGTTTAGTAAATATATCAAGTACACCAACGGTACCATTCGTTTATTCTCAAAAGTCCATTTTCACTTTGTAAAAGCTCTTCCAAATTCGAAACATTCGCCATCTTGAATGGCGCCATCTTTCCTGTGACGTCACGGGTGGACCCTCCAAAGTCTCGTTTTATAATCGCGTGAGGCACGAAGGAGTCTTTTCTACAGCCGTTGTTTGCTGGTCTCCTCATGATTTTTTTACTTACAGTTTGCTTCAATATATTCGATTTTTTCGTAATGGTGAAGCGTTGTGTCGTCCAGTTTTATACTGATTCAAACAAAACTGGGCATACAATGCAAATATTCCCAAATGACGCAAATTTGAAGCGACAATTTGTGAAATTTGTTCAAGTGAAAATAGCCGATTTCGTCGAGCCGTTCGAACGTTCTGTTGTTTGTAGCAGTCATTTTTCTTCCTGGTGATGTACCGACGATTCAGGCCTCACCAGAAGCAAATTATTCGGAAGTATAAAAACGACCCATACAGTCGGCAGACGACGAGGATTCGGAAGTGGCCGACCGAACTGAGAAAGAAGTTGAGCTCTTCAAAAGTTAGAGGTCAACAGAGAAAGTACAAAATCGATTTACATGAAAACGTTTCGTTAATTAAACAACAATAGCTTTATTGGTTCTCTAAAAACATCTTTTTTCTCATCTAATGAAATATTATGGGGAAGCCAGTTGTTTGGGAGCCAGCGCTGAGCCCGTAAAAGACACTGACATGTCTGAACCTTTGCCTGAATTCGAAACACGTATCAAAGAAAGAGAATTCGTTGATACCAGTGTGTAATAACGTGATCTGGAATTTTGTCGGTTCGATACAAAGAATTCTATACAGGATCCCATAATCAACCCTTATGTTCTATAAGAAAATCCAAGCCAGCCCCGCTTGGTGCTTCCTTTGAGAAACCCTGCAGAGAAACAGCAGAAGAATTTGTGTCACGGTTTTCACAGCAGTGAAAATACATTCAAAGGTCAGTAGGACAATATTCATCATTTTGAGTACAACTTAAAATATCCTGATTTCAGCTTGCAAAACTATCTTTTCAATATTTCAAATCGAAGCAAACACAAACAGGGTTGGATAATTATGAAGGCCACACAAGGAAATGTACATGATACAACTTGTTTATCGATGGAAATGCTTCTGAGATGAAGGATATTGTTTACCGCACAAGATAGCACAGCGACCCTAAAGTGTTTGCCGAGATATCCCCAACACCAACGAACAAGCTATCTGTAGGCAATTTAGCGAAATTTCCTGCCAGGAAAGAAGCGAAAAACAACTAGCTCTAGTACTGTATTATTAAATTAATGGCAGAAACAACTCAAATAAATCGATCTCAAAATGTAACAAAACAGATGAAACAGAAAATATTTAGCTTAGTCGTTTCCGGTGTGATTATCTGTGCTTTGCTGCTGCCTGTACGCGTACTTGGCCGTCTCCAGCACCCAGAAATCGAGGCAAATTGACTGAAAACCTGGATGCTCAGTGATACAACTTATCTGGGTTTCAGGCCATTTTGCCACAATTGCCCGATTTCCTTACAACAAACACTTTCATGAGTTGTCGGCATTGGTTGACAAGTTCCACACTCGCACCTTTGATAATTTTATATAAAACAATTTCAGAAGCTCAAGTTAAAAAAAATTATGTTGCATTCCTTTAGATTGTACCCTCGCTTTATTGCATTTTCATGTTAAATACAAATAAATCACAAAGTAAATTAAATACCAGTCTGAGTTTCCGAGACGGTCGCATCGCTGTCTACATGTTCTGTACTGTCTTCGTGCGGATCGCTTCGGTGAACCCTACGCGGCTCATATTGTTAAGGACGTGGCCCAGACTCTCCTGAAGATTCTGGATTATCTCCAGCGCTGTCATGTACTAAGCTTAAGGCATTCGAGTCGCTATCTTCTTAAAAAACATCTTCCGAACTACCGCTACTTACACGAACTCCCACACCAGTTATACTGGGGAATATGTGTTGCGCAATATTTTGGTTCCACCGCTTACGTCACGACTTCTCGCTATTGTTTTTACCGGAAATGGAATTTCAGTTGAAAATGCCGATTTTCTCCTAAAATAAGTCGAATTGGACAAAACTAATTTCAAATTCGTTTTCCACACCACTTTTTACATAGTATAAGTAAAACATGTATTTTTGGGTTTACATGCCCTTTAAGCTCTCACCTCTTTATTGATTCATTAAGATAAACCCTGAAATAGCTCATAAGAGCTTTTGATTAAAAAATGGTGCCTTTTGATTGGCGTGGCCACTAGTGTTCTCTCCGCTGTCAACCTCCGTGCCCAGCTTCATATGTCCAGCGCTGCTCAAAGACCACTCCGCTTAAACTAAAACTAAAAACTACTTTCGAAATACTTGTTACTGGGAAAAGAAGCACAAAAAAGTCACAGTTTCAGGTTTTATCGTTAGTCTACTGCTTGAGTAGTTTCCAGTAAGCGCGGTTGTAGTAATTGGCATCAGAACCCAGAGTCTTGGGAGCAGACGTCCATCCCCCTTCATCCCCTCGGTTTCCTTCTATTTTGGGGCCATCTTGAAATACGTATCTGAGCGTCTCAAAGTTTTCAAAGAAGTATTTGTCATCTCCTTGGGGGATGATTTTCCAGTAGGCCCGATTGTAGTAATTGGCATCCGCTCCCACAATTTTAGGTGCATTAGTCCAGCCTCCTTCGCTTCCACGATCGCCTTCAATTTTTTCACCAGTTGAAAACAAATACCTCTTTGTTTCGACATTCTCTATGAAGTATTTGTCGTTACCTTGTGGAATAATCTTCCAATAGGCTCGGTTGTAGTAATTGGCATCAGCTCCCACAACACTAGGCGCATCAGTCCAACCGCCTTCGTCTCCTCGGTTTCCTTTTATTTCAGGGCCGTCTTGGAACAAGTAACGCTGTGTTTCCACATTTTCTATGAGATACGTTCCCTCAGCAATACCAGAAGCCATGTTCATTGACAATGACTTTTCTCCTTTTCTTAGATCTTCAGTTCGTGTCAAAACTCTAGGCAGCTCGAAAAAATGATAATGCTTGCTGCTCGTTTCTTTGTTGTTTATATGCATTTTTCTCACTTATGAGTGGGAGTATCGAGCACGTTACTCAGCCAATCCGCTCATCAGGATCAAACCGCAAGTCACAACTCACCATGCACATTGTGCTCGATAGAGGGCGCCCCGCTACCACAAAAAAAGGCGGCAGAACAGTCTGGAAGACTTTTTGTGCAGAATACCCTGCCACTTTGGTCCACCTCATTTACATGTGTCGGGAGGCTTTGAAGATCGAGGTATAATACAATAGACGCCATTCTTATTCAATGACATGTAAATGAGTGGCAGGGTATTCTGCAGTTTAGCCTTATTTATAAAAAAAAAATAGAATTTCCAATGTCATACATATAAACAGAGCAAACGAATACACTTAAAGCTGAAATGTTTGGGACCGGTACTGCGATGATCTCGCGGCGTACGACGAGCTTTGAGTTAACGAAGTATAACTGTTAAGTGTATCGAGGTGAACGAATCGGTTGCTTGTACAGTGGACTACAGTGCAATAATCGTTGATCCTTGACCTTCATATCAGAACTAAATTGAGGTTTTGTTTACTTTGTTTTCGAAAGAAAGGTTTATCACGCAACTGAGTACCCAAATTTTTTTCTTCTCAAGGGTAAGAAATTCACGTCTTGCAAAAGTATAAAATTTCTCTTCTACAAAACATTGTTTTGAGTATTACAGAGCTGTTTAAGAATGAAATTGACTGCTAATGCAAAATACAGTTCATAACTGGACAGGCTGGGGAGACAAAAGATATTAAAAATATTATCGGGACCTATTGATTTGAAATAATAATTGGGTGAAACAAATTGTGCACGCCTTAAGACGGGTGGAAATAATTATAGGTTGGTAAAGCCACAATTGATAAGTTTGAGAGGGATAAGGGCCCTCTCTTTGATTCCTTGTTTTTCAAGAAAAAATAGTGAGTTGTTGGCTGAAATAGTTAAAAAGGAAATATTGGACCAGAATTTTTACCAAAGGACATAAATATGTAACGTCTCCCTATGATATTCTAACGTTATCCAGCAAACAGGTAATGAGAATGCTCAAAGCTGTTATCTTGCTCTAACAGCAAAGTCTCATAACTCGACTAAAAGGAAATTTGGAGCAGCAAGAGGGGAGAATTAACAATCATATCTTGGTAGTTAAAGAGTTAATCAGTCAGCAAATGAAGAATGAACGAATGAAGAACTGCTCAGTTGTTTCATTTCAGTACCAGCAAAGACGAACAAGTCTTCAAATTATAACTTGTAAATTGGTGTAAACAAATTCGAGCGCTTAAGCCGATTATTTCAAATGTAAAATACAACTATCAATCAAAAAACGCAATAAGAATATTTGGGTCATAAGCGCCACACGTGACGCGTGAACACCCATCAGATCGGAGCTTTAGGGAGGGCGTTGCCTCCGGCCAGGGGGCAGAATAACACAACAGACATCTTATTACTCATTCCTATTTCTCTGAATATGCCGTACGCAACGCCCTCGTCTCCCTTCTACCGCTCCTTCCCCCTTCCCAACCGCCCCATCTCTCTCTCTATAGCGTTTAACGAACGAGCATCGTAGTGTACGATTTGTTTCCAAGTTTCCTTAAAATTCCAAACGGCTGGAGGATAATCAATAATATGTTGTGCTTGGTCCATACGTGACGACCTCGAGCCAGGTAATTTGACTTGCGGTCCTCCCACTCAAACATTAAGTTATTTGGGATGGAAATGCTCTATTGTTTTTTGTATGTAATGTTTGAGTCCAAACAATGTTGCACTAACTTTAATGGCTTGGCAATTTACAATTATTGGACCAGTGATTTAAAAACTGTTTCTTTGTTCGTCACCTAATAAGGTCGACCGGTCAACCGTTTACAACGCACGTCTTAAGCTTGTAGAGAAACGTTGTTTAAAATGTACAGCGTTTGATTAAAATCAACTGGTATAAATGAAAATTTGCGAGGGAAACGAGCATTGGCTTACAGAAATCTTACAACCATGGTATAGTCAATCAAGGCCATCAAGACTCGTTGCTTTGTAATGCATCAGTGAATTTTTTTTTTTTAATATTCAGCCTTTCGTGCCTCACAAGGTAATAAACGCAAATACCAGCTAGCAAAAAAAAGCTTTAGACTTTTTTAACGAAAGAAATGACCATCTGATACCGCATTTAAGAAACGTTTTGTGGCTCATCATAACATCGGTCGATAAGTCAATCGTTGACTCGTAACATTCCTAACAAATTAATAATTAAACCGGCCTGGTTGATACTTTCGAATCAGTTCACCACAACATCGAGCTTTTGTCCATCAACATTGCACAAGAGATTATAGACTTTACAATCCCTTGCTTTGCATCTGTGGTCATCTTACCAGGGGTAAGGTTAGCAGTAATCTAATGTGAGCGAATTATAACTAATCATTTTAAAACTAAGAATAGAGATTCTAGGTTGGCAAAGCCACAATTGACAACTTTCACGAAGAGGGATGATAAGTTACCCCACGTTTGCCATCTAACCCGTAAACTGCTTCTAGAAATTGCCTCAGAGGATAACGATGCTGTATGGAGACAATGAACAAATACTTTAATGGAACGAACCATAAATATTTAGTCTAAATGACCCGTTGAAAAACTGCGTGGAACTTTTGATACGATGAAGCATTTGGCCTCCCTACAACGAAATAGTAAAATTCCATTATTTTCTCGTGTTGTATTCTATTTCCTCGACTCGACTGGAATGTAGTTATAGAAATATATATCTCAAACGATCAAGGGTTCAACTGTCTTCAGCATGCTATCAACAGCGACCAGGAAATGTCTACTGCTTCTGCTTTCTCAAAGGAGAGCGGCGGTTGGATATTTCTAGCAAGGTTAGAAGAGTAAGTAAGCCTAGTAACCAAGAGGAGTTGTCAACCACTGCTAGTTCCTCATCACGATCCATTCTCCGCTGACGGACGATCTTGTAAGCGGACAGCTCCACTAACTGACCATTTTTTAATTCTCCGTTTGCCTCCAGTCAAACTCTGCTTACATTCCCGTAAGCGAACGCGGACACTTCAAAGTGAAATTTGGATTTTCTGTTACATGCGCTCTCTTGTGGGTGGACACTTCATGCATAATAACTGATCATATAAGAGTTGTAAAGTGCATTCGTTTTCTCTTTTTTTTTTTCCCCTCCGAGTTTTGGCATTTGCCATCAAGAAAGATCTTCAGTTTGAGAGAGTTGACAGTATTGTCAAATGCAAGACAAACTTTTCCATCGACCTATTGCAGTTCTGACCAATTCTGATCCTCAGCATAAGAGAGCTTGAGAAAATAAAAAAAGAGATGTATTTCAAGGTAATAGTCTATAGGGATGCCAAATGACACAAAAACAATGTAATGGAAAGTGAAACTTAGTGTACAAGAGAAGCGTGACATTGCACTGAGTGGTTATTGGGCAATCACAAATCATATGACCCACTTCCGGTGCATTTCTACGTATTGTTGCGACTTAATGTCGGGGGAACTAGTTATCGAGCACACCACGCTCGGCGAAAGGTACCAAGACTCTCGAACTGTCTTTTTCTGCTTTCTTTAATTACTCGGTTTTCCAGTACATGATTCCACTTACATCCAAGCTAATTTCATTCTGAGTAACTCTAGTTAATCTCTCAGGCTCTCACACTCTGATTCTCAATGGATACTTCTTCTTCGAATGCGGAATTCTGACTCTACTCTACTGCACACTGTCTACATTCTTCTGGTCTTCTCTTCGCTCTCTCCACTTTCTCTTCTAATTAAACATTAAAGAACATGCCTATATATTCACTACTGACAGATACGGGTGGGCATGCCAGCCGGCTGACCATGGGAGATCACACATTTGTTGTTAGAATGCTAAACCAAACAATTTTACGAGATTTTCGATCTGAACAACAAAGTACTTAATCATAATGCTTCCGTTCAACTGAGCCAACCTCTGACTGCGTTGGTCAAAAGAAGAACTTTCGTGTGGGTCCAAAGCAAGGTCAGTGAACAAATAAAGCACGTCTACTTGAGGAAGTTAGAAAAGGCTGTCACAATTCGGAAACTCATCAGGACAGGTCAAACCCAAATAACTTCGGGATTCGAATTCATGCATTCAACACTTTCTAATTATAAACGATAAATTAAACCATACTGAACTGACTAAAACTAACTGACTTACGGACGGTAAAATAACTAAATGCTTCATAACAGTATCATTATTTTTCAGGGCTTGCTCATTCCATTTTTCTCTGGTTTTCGAATAAAGGTACGTGCATGATAAGGAATGAATTAAGTAAATTTTTAGAGTTATTGCTGTTACAAACAAACAGCCCTTTTTAGAAATTGTTGAAAATGAACTGTCCAATAGCTCATGTCATGAATATGTTCGGTTCTGTCTTAAAAAAACCAACAACAACAGCAGCAACAACAACTTTATCTGTACCCTACATTAAATTAAATGATACAAATATATATATATATATTACATGAAAAATGGATAGGGTTCAGGTTGCCTATAATAACCATTGAGGGCTAAAAAGATAGGGCAGCCTTACTTAGGTTATTGAAATATTATTTTAATAAAGGGTCAGGTACCACACACGCACACACAAAACACAAAACAAAAACAAAAAACAAAAAAAAGCTAGTAGAAGAAGAAAGACGACAAAAAAAAGTTAACCGGAAGCTATAGCCAGTAAAGGAAGTTTATTAGGACTCTTTTAACTGTGTTGAATATTGAGACGTATGTAAAAAACAATTCCGAGAAGCGTTTTACCGCGAATTGGACGAAACAAAAGCTTTTGCTTGTTTACGCAATAAACAGCGTATCCATAACACAAAATATCATATGACACCGTAAACTGCACAATAGGCTTAGTTCAGTGCGGAATCATAATTCAGCGAAGCGCTGTGCTTTTATTTTCCAGCCTCACGGTACTGTGAAGGTAAGAGATCCCTATATGATCCTAA